TGTGTCTCTATGGAAGTTAGAGGTGTTCGTCGTGGAACTTGGTGTTTTCTGGTCATTGCCAAGTTTAATCTTTGTTATTGACTGTGTCCAATTTCGTTTAAGGTACGCTTATATTTATAATATTAACGATCTGTAGGCTTCATTCTGAACTTCATTATTCTGTCGGTAACTTATACTTATTTTGTCATTAGATTTTTGTATTTCTATACAAGAATGTTCAGATATATTTAATCGTAGACATACAATTGTTAATTTCTCGCGAACATGTAAATAAATATTGAAACATTGAAGTTATGGAATATAACCTGTAATATATAATATATGATATATAAAACGCAATTTACTACGCAATCGCAAAAGCAGAAGAGGATGATTTTACGGTTGAGAGTGGTTTCTTAAAATCTGAACGAGTCCCTGCAACGACCCATTTCCTTATTTATGACAGCAATGAATCGAACCCTCTTCATTGAGTTGATCTTGAAGCTAGTCTTTGCAATTACATCTGCAAAGTTCTTACTATTGAAAGATGGCTACTGAAAGGTGATTCCTGCAGCAATCCACGATGTCATGTACAGTCTTTCCATTCGACCTGTCCTCAAATTTTCAACCCTATTTGTCGCAACCCCTCCCCCATCATTTCCATTTCTCAGCGACCCTTTCCCTCTCGATCGAACCCTCTCGGGTCTCCCCCCCATTTTCGTCCTTCCTCTGGATCATCCTGCCACCTCCACGGTTCATCCACCCTCGCGGCAGCTCAGCTTACCCGCTCGCTTACTAGCACGCGATTTCGCGTAGGCACGCGTCTGCGTCACTACTGCACTCGTACCACAAAGACGCGGCAGGGTGCACATGTGTGCGCGCGCGAGATATAGAAATCGATCCGGTCACCTGCCTTCGAAGACTCTTCACACCCCTCGCGGTCTCATCCTCCCTTGATCAGGAAAGAGTCCCTTTGTTTCTCCCTTTCGGCAGCAGAAATTCCATTCTTGTCGGGAGGAACGTGTCTCCATTCCGAATATTTTTAATAACCAGAATCCAGCGAACCCTACAATCCTGTACGAGGGTGGCTTTTATTAAAAATGATTCTTCGAACGTGGCCCCTTTCGTCATGCTTCGGGTAAGTATCACGAAGCGGAATCCATTTGTTTATTTTACTCTGTACCTGCTTTCAGCTGTTCTCTTGCGACGAAGGGGTGGCTTTTATTAAAAAAAGGAATAACGAGAATGCACCCACTCTCTCTTGTCGTTCTTTTAATAAACATAATGAAACAAGACTATTTCATATTGTACTTTCCTTGTGCTGCTCTTTCGTGGCAAAGGGGTGGCATTTGTGAAGAAACGATACACGTCGATGCATCCCCTATTTTGTCATTCTTTTCGTCGATATAGTCAAGCACTTTTTTGTCTTATTACTCTATTACTCTTTGATGGAACAGGTACCAATAGAATATATACCAATTACCAATAAGATGTATACAAAATACACGAACAAAAATTAATCTACAGCTGTGATATATTTAATAAGTAATGTACACCAAACGTCTACATTAAAATTGCTAAATTATTCTAAAATTATATTTTAACCCCAATATTATTTATATTCTATCTTCAAATGTATATAGTTGTAGGTAAATTTAAGATGGCGAACATAAATATCTGTGAGAATATTAGAAACTTTAATGTAACAATATGTAGTAAAATAAAATTATTATTGCTTATATTCTGTTTCCGAATATTGCATAAAAATATTTCCAATTGTTTTAAATTAAATTAAAGCTAAAATCCAAAATTCCATTCATTAAAAAAACAAAACTGTAAATTCCAGAAAAATCTCAAGCGAATCCATATAAAACATATTTCGAAGTCGTTTGGGGCAGCTATTTTTAAAGAGAGCGTATTTCTATTAGAACGACGATTAATTAGTTTATTGCATGTTTCAAGTTCTCTGCCTCGGTGCGCCGTCTAAAAGGGTTGGTTTTATTTCGAGAGTTTCTCTATTTCCCTGTTGGACTATTTCGATGACTCGCGAGCGATCGAAGCCTTGTCCGTCGTTCGATTAACGTGCACGTATTCCAGCGAATGACTTCACCGCTCGCAGGTGTGCATCGTATTTAGATAATATCGATTGCTCTTGCACGTCATAGGCCGACCTAGAATCGACCCCTCGTGACACAGTTAACCGCGGTTGACAGTGCCTTAACACGAAACCTCGGTCGAAATCGCCGGTGCGATTTTCGCTCGCGCTTGGAGGACCGCCAAACGGAATCGCGAAGTTCAAGAAATGGAGCTCGGGGTGCTTGAACCTTCGAACCTCTGCTGATCGACTGCTGATCGAAACGAGTCGCGGATCTCAATCGAAATCTCTGCTCGTGAAATCTAACGCGTGGATAATTAACACATTGCGTGATGTAGCTTCATATCTTTGGAAATGATCTCTTTTAATCGTAACTACTAAATATTGCAGAGAGTGAGAGGGATATTCAATTCTAGCGGAGATAGTGTGTCGACTGGTGACGCGAAAACGCATGCGTCGACTGAAACTTTTTCTCCTAGAACGAAGCAACTTTGCAAACAAAGAGATAATGCATAATAGAATTGTAAACTTCATGGGCAAAATTGTGTTCGGATGAGGCATAAGACACCAATGAACAAAATGTTATTCGACACTATCGGATGAATAACCAATCGAGTACAAAATGTAGATAATATTCGAATAAGATTTTATTAGAATACGAGAGAATTCATTCGAATAAATATTTATTTGTACTGGAATCCATGCGGAAAATAATCGATTTGAATAAAAATGATATAGAATTTAAAGCGTTTTTATCATAGTTTATCGATGTATTAATATAAATAATAATAATTAACGATTATTCGCGTTATTATTCGAGTAATTTTACAATCTTTATTCGAATAAGTTATCAACGTAGATAAATATTTATTATATGGATCTTGAGGAATATCTTGAAATCTTTGTGCTTTGGTAGTTCATGGAGGTTGCTTACAATTGATGCAAAGAAATTCTTGCAGTTTGAGATGAAGCACAACTCAGTGTGAAATGGGAACAATAGATTTCAATGTTATCTAATCGATATTGTCGAATCTTTTTGGAGCAAATCAGTCCATAAATCGCTACAACTGGATTAATTCGCTTAATGCCACACCGCCATAAATGCTTGGTAATCCTTTAAAAACGTAATTGCAGCTTATTGGATCGGGGATGACGATATTATAGAGTGATTGTCATAGCTCGTGAGAACGGGCTTACGTAAATGCAGGGAAGCGCCTTGCATAACGCGCCTTCCAGCGATTTTACAACGGTGAACTTAAGACAGCATTCGAGATCAAACGCGATTATCGATTCGTGCATCTTCAAAAAGAACGTATTTAAAAGAGCATATTTTTAAAAAGAGCATAATGAAAAGGAGCATATTGAAGAAGAGCATATTCAAAAGCTGGATTTCCAAAATGAAAATAGGCAATAATCGTAAAAGCAATTTTGAAAAATAAAAACAAACAACAATTTATTTTTAGAAACTTTGTTGCATTTCAATAAAATATATATTTAAAATCGTAGTCCACGAAAGTATTTTATCTATGTATTATAATCAATGTAGTTCAATATGAAACATATTTAGTGTTAAGTGTTAGGTCACTATTTCAGAAGATTAAGCAGCAATTATATGCAGCACTAATTTCAAAATATGGACAGGAAGCAATAATTTATTTCTGACAACTTTGTTGTATTTCCAGAAATCTATATTTAGAAATCTGATGTACATGGAACTATTTTTGTAGACAATATTTTCCTAGCAAATAACTAAAGAAATTGTTTCGAATTTTTATAATAATTGTTGCAAGATAAAATGCTGTAGAACACGATCAACCAATTGAAATTAATCTACGATGTTAAAGAATGCTTTAACACCGTGTAAATACTTTTTTAAATAATAGGGGGTAAATATGAATCTGACTCGATAGAGACTTCTAGTTTATCACCTGTACGGATGTTCTACCGTTATTTTAAGTCGAAATAAAATTTTGTTCTGTTGTCATTAATATTTCACCCTTTCCACTACGATCTCTTTCACAGCTGCTTCGATTAGCACTTCTTCGTCCTTAACGCTAAACCTACCGAGCATTAAAAGTGACTAACGTGTGCTGCTTTATAAGAAAAGCAAGATGAAATTTGTTTAAATTTTTTCTTTCTTGAAACTAAGAAATTCATATAGTCATTACCTATCGAAGAGTCTTTATAGTTTCAACAATTTTAGAACAAAAAATGTGGAACCGCACGGTGTGTTAATAATTAATAATTTCCCTAATATAGTAAACTCTCCCCAATTGTCCTTCAGCTTGTAAACAAAAATGGATAACTTGGGAAGAGGGGCTTGAAAAATCGTATCTCTATTTCCCAAATAGTCCATTTTTTACGAACTGTGGTACAATAGAAGAGAATTTACTGTACAACAAAATTATTTTTGTTTCATGTATGTCTTAATTTACTTCCATTCTTAAACATCGATAACAAAAAAATCAAATTTTGTTTAGAATTGGAAGAAAAGAGTAACAATCATATTTAGTAGATTGTGTATGACACCTACCTGACTTATTGAAATACAAGGGGTTAAATACGCAACTACACGTCGTTACACAATAAATATACATTTTCTTCCCCTTATAAGAAAGATTATCACACCCGAAAAAATTCTGATCGTTGCAGTTGCGAAGTAAACGATACAACATCGGATCGAAAGCAACAAAATGAAAATTCACTGTAACTTCTTTTATAATTTGAAATGCGAGCAACCTACTGAAAAATACAGGAATCTTACCAGCCCGGTAAAGCTTTCCAGAACGAAACGTTGTTGAAACTTGCGGGAAATCGCGTTTGGTTCGTTGGATTTTCCCGGGAAACTGGAATCGTCCCGGTAGGGGATGGAAAGATGAGAGGGCGCCGCGCTCCCAAACAGGTCGATACGACGTGCGCGCTCATTCTCCACCGACACGTCTTCAGTGATGGACCCGTGCTGATTCTGCAGCCTGGCAAAACATGCCACGACGTGTGCTGTCACGTCCGGTGATTCGTAACGAGCCTAAAAATCGACGAGTGAACAGGAGTTCAGGATAATGTCACCGTGACGCATCGGTTTCCCTGAAAAAACCATCGTGATCTTCGTCGTCGTCGGAATAAACATTTTGGTGGTGTGCTAGCCGAAATCTCGTGGGAACATGAGGCAGGAGTCGTGACAGTTCGACAATAATTTTCTGAAGGAGATTCTGCTGAACAGGGAAAACTGAACATCGAAGAAAATGGGGACGCGGTTTGCAGCCTGTGAGTGTAAACGATCCATTTACTGTAAATTCTGATCGATGTTGCAGAGTTTTCATTTCGTCGCAATTATTGTTGCTTCAGATTCGTTGAAGCTGACCAGTCTCCACGATCATTATCAACGACTGCTATGCGGCAGTCAACCCGTGCCTTCCGGCCTCGATATAGCGAACACGTTGAAGTTCTTCTCGCAGACCTTGTTGTGTAAGAACTCCCAGGTCCATTGTCTTCGAGAACGTTCGTTCTGCTCTATAGACACGTTTCTTCGTTTGTTCCATCGCAGCATTGCTGAAGGAAGTCCGCGAGTCTCCTTTGGAGATGATCAAGTCGCAGAAGCTCGACGCAGAACGCATGGCACTCTACCCTAACTTGGACTACAAGCAGCTGTTCAACGCTCTCACTCAGCTGATGGACGTGGTTCCGCACATTCACATCAATTTGCTCGGTTCGTTCGCCTCGAATTTTACGACGAGCAATCTTCGACTAATTTTTAATAGACGTTTGAATTTTTATTTTTAAATTTATTAATTTACGTTCGTGATTTCTAACCGAGGAGAAACGTGTTCCAGCGTTCGGCCAAGCATTGCTCCAGTGTCTGGCGTGCCTGCTGCCCTTCCTCGATCACGATCTGATCGATAACGTGCCGTACTTGACGGCCAGCTCGATCTCGGTGCTTCCGGTGGAGCTTCACCAGGATATCGTCAATTATCTCTGCTTTTATATCCTGCCATTCACAATCGGTGAGTCTCCTGTTCCTACGATACGATCCGAGATTGGTTGAGGACACTTATTAGATGTTTCTGTTGCAGCGAGGAAAACGGAGGATGGCATGGAGAACGCGGCAAGTCAGTCGATTGCCGCCGTGATCATGATGATCTTCCAATACTCCAGCAATCCAGGTTCAATTCTTAATTGCTACGCTTTTGCAGTTTTGCAAATTTTCCGGTTGGAGTGATTCGACAAAAATTTAGTTTTATTCTTGACTCGTCGTTCTATCTCTGCCTCAATTGAACAGAATAATATAGCCAATAATAGTAATCCCTGATTAGTTGTGTATACTGTTCTACAGAATTGAAGGATCGCTAAAAATTGTCGATTTATGAATTGCTATAATCTTAATATCAACTTCAACTCTCCTCCGAATCATTTAATATAGGAAAATTTTCAAAAAAGAAAAGAGTCAGGGATATGAAAGTAGAGGATTCGGCCTTTGAAATGAGCTAACGTAAATCACCGTACGGTCATTTTTCACGAAGTTACAGCGATCAAAGGTGGACAATGTCTCCATCAATGTTTCGTGGTTGTAAGAAATAAAGATGAATTTTTGACAAATTTTCTTATTTTTCTTTTCAGCTCAACATCGGCAATTGCTGGAATGTCTAATGGCAGTGAAACCAGGCGTGGTTAAAGACATCCTCTGCGTGGTGGCCTACGGAACAGCGCCAGCCAGAGCCTCCGCTGCGAAATTGTTATTCTACTACTGGCCATCGTTCAATCCTGATCTATTCGATCGAAGGGTGGTCCTTATGAAAACTTCATGTGTGTATCACTGTCAGAATGACCTCGCTTCATTCTTTAGAATTCGTAACTTGATAAAATCCTTTCGAAATTCGATTTCAGACGACCTGACACCTTTCGTCTGCCAGAGGGACTCCTGTCCTAACCCTGGCAACGCAGCGGCTGGTAAAGTCTGCTACGATCATCGAATATCGATCACGTTCGCCACGGAGAAACCACCGCCCCTGTACCTTTGCATCGAATGCGCCAATGAAATTAACAGGGAGCATCCGAATCAGATGTTTTATGACATGTTGCACCCCATGCAACAGGTGTCCATGGTTTGCGAGATCAAGGTGAGTGCTGCGTTCAAGTATACTTGGGATTTCTCTAGTCTGCGGATCTTTGTGCGAACCAAACAAATATCTCCTGAAATCTATTCCTTTATTTAACTCATGGCAGTCTCGGAACTATTCTAACTCGAAATTCAAAATGGCTACTCTAACCATTTTTCATTTTATATAACCTTTTTATAGTTGTTGACAATCGGTCACTATAAAAACGAACCGCAAATTGGACCGATAAGTGTTAATAATAGATTTACGACAGAGGTGTCAAACTCGCGGCCCGAGATGAACATTTTTGCGAGAGATGTCAAGTACCAGGATTAACTTTAATTTCAGATCAGGATTAAATTTAATTTCAATTTAACTTTATATATGTTTATTACAATGTACTAGTCAAAATAAAAATATTTGTTTCTATGAACATTGATTTTTTTTTTGCGGCCCACCTAAAGTTAAGCCTTGTTTATTTGGCCCAAGTTAGCTTTTGAGTTTGACACCCCTGATTTACGGTAAATAAAGTGTTAAAAGTCTGATTCGCGTGTTACAGAACTGCAAGTCGAACAACAAGACGGCGATCAGCATCTGTTTCTCGACAGAGTGCGCCAGCTCGAATTGGAATCGACCGATCCGGCACTGTCAACACTGTCACGAGCACCGTCACAACAACGGCTGCGGCAGCGACCACGTCTATCACATGGCGTTGCCGCACGTGTCCAAGCTGGACTCCCAAACACAGACCTACCTGGTCCAAGCGATCGTCAGGTGAGAAATCCGCGCGATCAACGATCACCGGAGTCTGTTGTATCTTTGCTCAGAGATCGTGTAACCCGCTTAACGTTCGACAAGAGATGGGAACAGAGAATGGGAACTGGTTGGATAAGAAACACTCACAGTCGCTGAGATTTTGCACGAGTTTTATGAGACGCTGTCACACGCGGAGGCAACAGGTTCTGCACACCGGAAACGAACCGATTCCAGTGGAAAGTAGTGTCGAGAAGAATAGTTTCGCTGGACTGCGGATCTATTTATAATCTTGCGGATTTCTTCAAACTAAAGTTCTTCTTTTTAGGCAAAGAATGTCGACTTTTTAAAAATGGGATGACGTGACTGGTTCGGCTGAAACTTTGCAGGAGCTTCCTTCATGATTTTTTTGAATTGTGTAAATTTTTTCTCACTTCGATTTGTTCATAAATAGAGATTTCATATACAAAATTTTTACTGGAGAATGTCATCGCATCTTTGACGTTAGAAAAATGTGATCTAATTAATGGTTAACGATTGCAACTCTTTGGTTATTATAAGTTATTATAGATTAGTTATTATAGATTATTATAGATTAGTTGTGATAACTAACAAGCTATAATCGTTAGTCATTAATCAGATTACTTTTTGTTCAACTCCGAATGATAATGGAACACGTCCTTAAGATACAGTTAAAATTTCGAGTTGATTGGTTCTTTTTAATCGTGTCAATGACCTGCGAGAACGTGGGTTCGACGAAAACGCCTTTAAATCATTAATTAATAACTCCGAAAATACAATGAATTCTGCTCGGAGATTCAACGCAGACACTCATAAACAATTGAACTACAAGATTTCGCAAACATAATCGAATTCTTTCACTCAAAAAAAAAAATGTCCATGCTCTTGAAGATGTACAGTGTAACTACTGATCCGCAGTCTATCGATTACTGCAATCGATTGATACAATTTTTCAATAGAACTAGCAAAGGAATTGACTTTTTAGCTTTCAGTATTGCAAAGATAAGTTTTGCAAATTCGCCAAGAGCTCGTTGCCTCTTCGGTCTCGTCGATGTCGAGTTTCTGCTACGAGAAATCTGTTTTCCGACGACGCGAACGCACGTTGAAGCCGTTCGATCGGTTTCCACCGATCTATGGATCGCGAGCAACAGCGAAACACACATGTCCTGTATTTCCACGAGTGCGAACGGAATGTTTCTGTTTTTCAGACAAAACGAATTTTTCTTGACTTTTTTGTTTGATCATTGAAAGAGAGAGAGAGAGACGATGCCCGCGTACTAACGAATGATCGCAGGATCATTGTTGCTTTGCGTGTTTGTTCGTGCTGGTCCATCCTGCTTGGTAAGACATGATGCTGTGATTACGCTCAATGGAGGCGTTCGCACGCTCTCGGGCCGTCTTTCTTTTCGTTTTGTTTAATCGGAACGGGTCGCACGACCGTCCTTCACTAAGCGTGGTCACCAAATGCTCCAAATATTGTCTGTGAATATCCATGAACAGCGATCGAGACGCGACGTGCGCCGATACTCGAGACACAAAATTTGATCCCTTTCGAAATTTATTTGCCTATCCGACCTATTTGCATAAACTTTCACTTCGATTCAATTCAATTGTGCTTCATTAACATTTTAATCGAGTAAGTTGCTCTTAATGCGTGTCTCGATCCGCTACCAACGCTGGAACCGCTAAGTGCCGCGAAACTTGCTATCAAAAATTCAATCGCTAACGAAATTGATTGCAAAACAGTATTACGATGGAGATGGATTAGTGAAATTGAATAGACCTACAAGGGAATCTCTGTAAGCCGAAATTCAATAGTTTTCGTATGCCTTTCAAGAAAGTATTATTAAAACGATAACAAATTTTTGTTTAAATCAATATATCCACGTTGTCCGATAAGTTGAATATGCAAATTTTCGTGTATACAGAGATAAGCAATTCATATCACTACAAATAATGGTAGCGGCGAATCTTTTTATAAATAAAAATTTGTTATCGTTTTAACAATGTCTCCTTAAAAAGCATAAAAAGCTATTCAATTTTTATTGCAACCATCTTTTTATACTGCAGTTTTTAAAATATATGACCGACAATAAAAATAGCTCGAAACCTCTCTCAAGGTTTCCAACAAACCCATACAGTTTCAAAAAGATCGACATTTTCAGGTTGCCGAACTTCTCTGGTTAGTTAGAATTATTAGAAAGAACAAAGGTACAATATTAGGTTGTTCGAAAAGTTCATTTCAAATCTTTTATATAAATTCAACGAAACAAATGTAAAACGAACTTTCCGAGTAACCTAATGTATAGTTCGTTTAAAAACAATCTATCTAAATAAAATGAGTGAAACTAGTAAAATAGCCAAGCAAATAAATAACGAGAATGAAACTGAAGGTAATGAGCAAATAATTAGACGAATTAGCTAGCTAAAATTAGTAAATACTCTGCTCGCAGCTAGTACATACAGTTAGCGCACAGTCTAACTGAATCGTGTTTGGATAGAACCGAAAATCGTTGGAGGAGAACCGTCGAGCTGAATGCAAATAAACACATAAAGCTGTTAAACGAAACGGAATGAGTAAATAAACGCGCTCGCGGGGAGGGGAAAGAATTTGACGGCGACCGCAGCCATAGTCGTGGAAGGTTTGTGCCGGCGGTTCTAGCGTCGGGCAAGTTTTTTCTCGAATTGACCAAGTGGCCGCGTAAGACACGTGACTTTGAAGCATTCACCCAGCGTGTAGAGCATAGGAAAAGTGCACCTTAAAAGTTGCAATGCGCCTTACCGAGGACACCGCGTCGTAGCACGTCCTGGATACAACACACCAGCACCTGGTACCGTTCCACAAATAAAAACAGATCCACTGGTACTGGCTTGAATAGATACCCATTACCTGAGACACACCGGTACGCTGCATGCACAGAAACACAATTTTAACGGGATGCCCGACCTGATTTTGCCGATCCAGTTGCTGCGAATATTACTTGCCCCCAATCTGATAGCTCGATCATTGGAGATTCATCTTACCATTTAGTATTCGATATAGCTATATACCTTCGAGGTAATAGTTAGATTGAAGATTAAACGCATTTATGACGAAAGTAAGTAAACGTTATTTGAAACACAAGACAGATTAAAAGAGTTTAACATTTCTCTGGAAGAATTAAGTATAAAGTAAAATCAAAGTCTAAAGTACGAGAATAAAAGAAACATTTCTGTCGACCGTTTGCTATTTAAATAATTAAATTAAAGGTAACAATACGAGGTCCTAAATATTATTTATTTTCTTGCCTTAATTCTTAATTACTTGTCAAAGAAAAATGATAATGATATCTTTTCTTAATGAAATATAAAAAAATAGGTTGTAACTTATGCAGCAACCAGATCTTACTATTTTATTAGATTAATAATTGTCCAAAAAGGAATTTCTCTTTAGTTTCCGATTGATTTTGTTTCTATAGAAAGAGATTTAGTTCGACGATAGATTTTTCAGTTTCCAATATAACAATAAAGTACACTTTCTTCACACCTTGAATTGCATTTGGTAGTATTTTCAATATTGCAACTAGCATGAACGGTGTAGTTAGAACCCAGAACTCAATGAATTGATGTCCCAACTGTCAATTGGCTGCCGATCAATCGTGGATCTTTCAAAACTTTTCTCTTCATCGATGTAAATATGTCGATATACGAGCTGAGATGATCGCGATCTGAGGTTGCGTCCGCTACGTGGTCGACCTAGATCTAATTGTCCGTCAACATCTCGAGAAACATGTCTGAATCGTTGATCGACATTGTCGTCGATTCATAGAAGTAGTTCTCGTTGAATTTCTTTGCGACCAAGTATCCTCGATATTCCGAGATTTAATGATAATTCTGACGAAGAATTGAGACGATTGCGAAGGGATTCAAAAATAATCATTGAACGTGGAAGCCACGATTCTTCGACGTTTGATGTATTTATAACAAGCAGTCCGCCTGAAATTGTTAATGAAAGCATTGGCGAACTTATTACGTTTGGAAGAAGATCACAAACAAGTGCTAAATGGGCGGAGCAAAACAGTGGAAATAATTAACAAGCAATGTCAAGGGATGCTCTCACTCGCACAAGTGGCTGGAGTTTATGCCAAATGAGCGGAAAGAAAAACATTTGAATCGGAATTTTTAATAAATCGTGTTGAAGAAATATCTGTGTAATCAGGTGGGCGTGGTGAATAGTTCATGGGCGGGGAAAAACGTGCGACAGTGCAGCAGAGATGATTATAACGTTAATTCATTCTTTTCTTTTCTAGCATAATAATCTTGTCACCAGAAAATACTTAACGTAAAATCCAACTATTTCCAACACATTATTAGAGGAGGCTCCATAACGTAACAAAAAAGGGGCGTGGTATATGACTAATGGGCGGGATAAAGCTCGTTTTAACAAAGCAACAGAGGCATGATACTATAAACTTTATCTTACTTATTTCCTGATGATTCTTATTTCTTGACAAATTATTTCAGTGACTCCAACACTTAAAAAGTGGGCGCCAGATAAGCTTGCTGGGTGGAGAAAAGCTTGCTTGTATAAATCAGCTTTTGTTTCCGATAAAAAATGTAAGCCGAATTCAAACGAATCCTCGAAGAGACTTCGCCCATCCAGCAAAGGATTGATTTTAAGAAAATAAACACGTTTAACGATTTGAAGCGAACCGATCACAGAGAATGTCGATCTCACCAATGAAATTTCCGCGCATCTTTTCGAAGCTCATTCGGTCGTTCGCAGATTGCAACATTTCGCCGACCAGAGGCGGACGCAAGCTCCGATCGCGCGTTTCGCCGTCCCTAAACGCGTTCCTCTTTCCATTGCAGCCTGCTTAAGGAAGCTGAACCGCTAAGTATGGATAATAACCGAGACAACTCGGAAATAAGTACTAATAAGGGCAGCACAGGATTCCCAGGAAGCACCGGCAGCGGTTCCGGGAGCGGCGGGGTTCAGAACGACCCGTCCAGCTTGGAGGAGCGGCAGCTGCTCGGCAGATTCGGCGTCTGGCTGCTGGTGGGGCTTTGCACCCCGAACCAGGACACCTCCGTCGAAATTCTCGGGCGTTTATTGTCAATGCTATTTCATTGGTTTCATGTTACTGCCTACTCATTCGATGGTACTAAAAAAAGCCTTATGCACCTTATCTTTTCTGTTGGTAATTTAACACTTCGCATATATACACTTATGACGTAGACGTAGAAGACGTAGGTAGTGATGGGCGAAATCAGTCGAAACTTCGAATCGCTTCGGCGAGCCGAACACCTTGAAGACCAGGCCTTCTGGACCATTAACAAAATTCTCATTCGATTACAGTCAAGGGCATCCAAGGTTACAAGATTGCAGAAGCTCCGAATTTATAAAAATTTTAGTTCGTACAGATCGTCGAAGCGATTCGGAGCGTCGCAAGTCCATCACTAGACGTAGGTAGTCTCTGGCCGCGATCGTAGGCACATTCAAGTGGACCGTACAACTTTTACGACACCCTGAAGACGCGTTCGTTCATTGGTTCTCTTCTGTCGACCTCCCTTTGCCTTCGACCTTGCGAATCCAAACGAAAAATTAATCGTTTCCTAACGGTACAGAGATTTTCTGACTGGCAAAGCGGCGTTCGCCCGGAACAACGAGACACAAATAACGAACGAACTTCACTGTAAGACTCATGGGTAAAAAACATTCATGTAATACGTGTTCGTGCTTTCGTGTGATCGGTGTTTCTCCAAGCTTCACTGTGGCCCCCTACCCCTGTTCGACATTGTTTCGACGAGCTTCTGTGTCGCCCCCCATTGTTCTCTCGAAATTCTCTCGGTGTCCTTGTACATGGTATCAGTGAATCAGTGTAATCGATGTCTCCTCCCATCTTTGTGCCGAACGCTTCTCGCGGAGGCGTCAGCTTCGCAGATTTCGGCACCAAAATCTCTATCGACTCTATTTTTTTAATATATTTCTCGGCTTTCATCGCTTTATCCACTGACAATTATTTAATGCTCCTTGGAAGTATCTACTTTCGAGTGCAACATTTAAGAGATTGCCAAGTTTTCCTTGCACAGAGTATTCTAATTAAAAAATTAACCTCTTGCACTATAAAATCTTGTTATGTAATTATTTTAATCCTGGAACGACCGCGGAGTTTGTTGGCGACTCCGCGATATTTTTAATTTGTTTTTAATTTGTTGTTTGCTTAATTTGTGTCGAGTTTTGAGATTCTTTTATATGTTGAAAATAACAAAGAATATTTTAATTGTGAGGATTTTATTTTGGATATATATCGCCTGCAACCCAATAATATTATTTACGTCGAAAACTAGAAGTCGTTCTGTGATTCGAGTATCGACAATAAAATTCGATCCTTCAATTACCAATGTTTAAATTTTAAGGTAAAGGCTAGCATGCGATAAATATCAATTTTCTTTCTGGTATAAAATTACATTATCGGCAAAGGAGTACTGATCAACGTAACCGTGAAAGGAATCGTAGTACAGTGGATAAATGTCGGTGCATGAGTTTTCTAAATTTAAAAGTCGAACATGTAAAAATACAATCTGATTCGTAGACTGCACATTTTTATGCGAAACAGGAAGGAGCATCTTTATTTTTAGATATTTTTTGGTTCGAAGAATTTTCTGCTTATCAGTAGACTGATAATATGAATTTATGAGAAAAATTAATAGATCGAATGCAGAACACTGAAAACATTCAGGAAATTAAAAAATGCAGTTGCATTATTCACAAATAATTAAAATGATTAAAGAACGAGATCAAGGTCTACGTAGCTTTTGTATCTTGTAATTAGTGCAGATAATTTTTATTTTGCATAAATATCTGCAATGTACCGATCAGATTGCGGACACCAACGTTTATTTATAAAATCCGTGGTCCACCGATCGGATGTTCGGAGTGTCGATAAATAGTGTCTGCCAAGACGACGCCTCTGCGTCCTCGCGTACATGTCACACACTCACACGACTGGAAAACACCACTGGAATCTCTGTGAACACACGACACGGTCAAACCGGAAGCTACCCGAGAAGCTGCTGTGTCAAGGGACAAGAGTGCGTCTGCGTCGCGGCTGATCTAGCCAACCGATGCATAGAATCTGTCTACCAAATCTCGATCAATGTCCTCGTCAATAACGGCCGAACAACCACCCGAATGGTCGGTGGTCGCCGAATCGTTTGACGATATTTGCTTACGTGGTTTCTATGCATCCATGTAGTGTTAGAAAAACCGCGGTGAATCGAAGTCGAAGTCCGACCAGACTTTCTCGCATGCCATCAATGTCACACAAAAACACAGATTTTGATCAGCTTCTACATTGTGAACGCCCCCTCTGTTCTCGATGTGTCGTCCCAGACTTCGCTTCTGTATCTGTGTTGGAAATTCTCCGAGCGCGTTAACAAAATTCGATGTTCCTCGAAGATGCCGAGAGTTCTGGCTAATCGCCCCGCGAATTGATAGAATCGATGCGATTCCTTGAACGAAACGATCGATCGGGGACGGTGTTTAATCTCGGTCGAATTTCGCAGGACAAGCTGAAAGCGCGCTGGAGAAGTTGAAGACCGAGTGCGTCTGCGGTTGGCTGTCAAAAGTGATGAAGTCCCATTACGAAGTCTTCATTTCGTGCCTCCTACCGCATCCTGAGGACTATGTTCGTGTCGGCGGACACTGGTACGTATTATCGGTAAAATTTTCTTAAGTATAGTAATTTCTCCCTAATTTGCGCTCAGATCGCGCACAAAAATGGACACAGGGTAACAAAGAGTTTTTTAGCCGTATACATGAATAAATATTACTGTATTATTATCACTATATTATATAAAATTTCACTGTACATTCTGGTAGTAATCAACTACTCACTACTGCTAATGGATTTAGTGATTCCGTAGACTTCTTTTTTTTTAGAGGAGAAAATCTCGAAACCCCACGAAGCTCAAAAAGTTTCGAATTCTCGACTATTTAATTAATAATAAATCAATTGAGCTTGTGTTTAGACAATTTAAATGGCACCAATCCATTACGATCGTTTGTATTGAGAAAGAATTAAGTTATAAATAAGGATAAATAACTTGATTCTCTAAAAAGAACTTGCCAAGATTTTAGTTCCTGACAAAATAGTATTGTGAGCTCATGACATTTCTGCCGGAGGGCTGACCATTGTCACGTCTATCTACTTTAAAGAGACTTTAATGCTCGATGAAGCAAGGAGCCTTGATAATAGTAAATATTCCGAACGATGATTTAGGGATACGGTCGCCTCGAGGACGTCGCACCTTAAAGACGGNTTTATGAGAAAAATTAATAGATCGAATGCAGAACACTGAAAACATTCAGGAAATTAAAAAATGCAGTTGCATTATTCACAAATAATTAAAATGATTAAAGAACGAGATCAAGGTCTACGTAGCTTTTGTATCTTGTAATTAGTGCAGATAATTTTTATTTTGCATAAATATCTGCAATGTACCGATCAGATTGCGGACACCAACGTTTATTTATAAAATCCGTGGTCCACCGATCGGATGTTCGGAGTGTCGATAAATAGTGTCTGCCAAGACGACGCCTCTGCGTCCTCGCGTACATGTCACACACTCACACGACTGGAAAACACCACTGGAATCTCTGTGAACACACGACACGGTCAAACCGGAAGCTACCCGAGAAGCTGCTGTGTCAAGGGACAAGAGTGCGTCTGCGTCGCGGCTGATCTAGCCAACCGATGCATAGAATCTGTCTACCAAATCTCGATCAATGTCCTCGTCAATAACGGCCGAACAACCACCCGAATGGTCGGTGGTCGCCGAATCGTTTGACGATATTTGCTTACGTGGTTTCTATGCATCCATGTAGTGTTAGAAAAACCGCGGTGAATCGAAGTCGAAGTCCGACCAGACTTTCTCGCATGCCATCAATGTCACACAAAAACACAGATTTTGATCAGCTTCTACATTGTGAACGCCCCCTCTGTTCTCGATGTGTCGTCCCAGACTTCGCTTCTGTATCTGTGTTGGAAATTCTCCGAGCGCGTTAACAAAATTCGATGTTCCTCGAAGATGCCGAGAGTTCTGGCTAATCGCCCCGCGAATTGATAGAATCGATGCGATTCCTTGAACGAAACGATCGATCGGGGACGGTGTTTAATCTCGGTCGAATTTCGCAGGACAAGCTGAAAGCGCGCTGGAGAAGTTGAAGACCGAGTGCGTCTGCGGTTGGCTGTCAAAAGTGATGAAGTCCCATTACGAAGTCTTCATTTCGTGCCTCCTACCGCATCCTGAGGACTATGTTCGTGTCGGCGGACACTGGTACGTATTATCGGTAAAATTTTCTTAAGTATAGTAATTTCTCCCTAATTTGCGCTCAGATCGCGCACAAAAATGGACACAGGGTAACAAAGAGTTTTTTAGCCGTATACATGAATAAATATTACTGTATTATTATCACTATATTATATAAAATTTCACTGTACATTCTGGTAGTAATCAACTACTCACTACTGCTAATGGATTTAGTGATTCCGTAGACTTCTTTTTTTTTAGAGGAGAAAATCTCGAAACCCCACGAAGCTCAAAAAGTTTCGAATTCTCGACTATTTAATTAATAATAAATCAATTGAGCTTGTGTTTAGACAATTTAAATGGCACCAATCCATTACGATCGTTTGTATTGAGAAAGAATTAAGTTATAAATAAGGATAAATAACTTGATTCTCTAAAAAGAACTTGCCAAGATTTTAGTTCCTGACAAAATAGTATTGTGAGCTCATGACATTTCTGCCGGAGGGCTGACCATTGTCACGTCTATCTACTTTAAAGAGACTTTAATGCTCGATGAAGCAAGGAGCCTTGATAATAGTAAATATTCCGAACGATGATTTAGGGATACGGTCGCCTCGAGGACGTCGCACCTTAAAGACGGACTGAACCGTCTTTTTTGTCTGGTACCTTACGAAGTGATCACACCGGATGTCTGGGACTACGTGATGCCGCACTGGATGGAGGCCATGGTGAACGACGTACCTGAGCACGAGCTTCACGAATTGAAAATGATCCTGTGGTACGTTTATTCGATATTTTTCACATTAAATTAAGAGAAATGTTTTGTTGAAAAAGGCCAATTTCTTGCGAGAGAATACCTTGATTCTTAAAGTAATGTAAACAATATAGTCAAGAGGTGATATCTCTCAATAAACAGCTAAAATGAATTAACCCCTTGCACTATAACGATTCAGACACGTGACAAAGATTTCGTACATGATCTATTTAAATATGAATTTTATTCATTTCTTTTAAATCGAAACAAACTTTGATTCTTCTGTTATCAGAATCGGAAATAAAAGTAAAGAAACAGACATAGAAGAAACAAAAATTGTCTGGTTCTCTCTTAGGGAAATGATTAAATACGAAGAAAAGCTAAATAATAATAGATTTTCAATAGAAATAGAAATGGAAACTTTAAATTATAATAGATTTTTATAGAAGTATCAATTTTAGTAGATTTTTAACAGAAATTGTAAATTATAATAGATTTTTAATTGAAATTTAGGTTATAATAAATAACAATAAATTTTTATATAAAATTTAATTACAATGAATTTTTATTATAAATTTGAGATATAATAGATTTCATAGCTGAACTTAGCTGTGAAATATTATAAATCATCGTGCAGAGGATTAAGGTTTCCGGATTTGTATTATAATTGGAAAATTTCTGCGACCATCGGACCGAATGTATTCTGATTCCAGCAAAATCCTGGACCGCGATATGAGCCCGTTAGGCTTCGACACGAAGAAGATGTACAATTTCGTGGCGAAACGGTTCGTCAACACCTGCGCGAAGGTGCAAGAGCAAGCGCTGAACTGGTTGCAGACGTTGACCATGCTGGAGATCAGCATTCCTCTCTGCCAACTCTTCTCGATGTTCAGTGATGGTGTAGCGGTTATGGGTGCCATGAATTCCTCCGAGTCTGGTCAAAAGCCTACCAAGGGATCGAAGAAGGAGGACGAAGAGGGGAACGCCATATGTAGATATCGAAATACCGAAAGAATTAATAACCGTAGACCGTGTTACGTAAAGATGAAATATTAAATGGAGGAACGATGTTCAGTTGTAGAGAACGATTCGGGAAAATCGACGCCATTGTCTGACGACAATCAACCGACAGCAAGACACATGGAATTCACTACCAACGCGGAACTGAACCTGTCCTGTTGCATACTCATGCTGGACATTCTGCTGAAACAGGTAAGCTTGCAGTTTTCGGACAATTTATTAAAATCAAGTCGGTGCATATGAAAATCGACAATGTGTGCTGAGATATACATATAATATATCATTTCAAACTTACAGTAACGTATAATATTAAGTAACATAGAAAATGTGTAATATTAATTACAATAATAAATATATCATATTTAAAAAATTAAATTCTTATAATACTTAAAAACAACAATATACATATAAATAAATTTAAGTCAATGTTATCGTGGATTATCAATTACAAATAGATTCCTCTAATAGGAATATTAAACTGCCAAATTATTTAATTTTATTGATGTACATCTAATTACTAATTTTATCATTAATTTTATAATAGGGTGTCTAATACTAGCTTTCAATCAATTTTTTCATAATATAAATATTTTATAATTATGATAAACACACATAATTATTTTATTTTAATGATCTACATTTAATTATTAATTGTATTACTAATATTATAATAAATAGAGTTTCCGATACTAGTTCTTAACAAATTGTTTCAAGATATAAATATTGAATATTAAAAATTGATATATTACATATTTTACCACAATGCTTGAAAAGTGAGGAAACTTGAGAGATAGGAGAGATTTTCTAGGGAACAAAGTAGAAAGAATCCCTGAACGAAAAAAATCTGTGCGATAGAGCAAACCTTCCTGATTCAAACAAAAAAAGAATCAACTCAATCGAGCAACCAGTATTCGAAATAAAAATTCCCAAGTGCAGCATTTCTACTGCGCAAAAACGCAAAAACGTTGCAACATTCGAGGGTCTGTATTTTACGAAGAAATTCGCAAGCAACAAAATGATGACATAAACCACCCCTTATTTTATGCATATTACGTCATAGTCGAGTTTGAACGAAATCTCTGCAATCCTAGTTACATTTTTCATCCCTTGGTGCATCATCTGTATCGCGGCTTCTTTAAATTGCAACAAGTTTGCAAGGAAAATTTGAAACGCGTCGACGGGGTAGATAATTAACGATGTTGAGAGTGATGAATGATTGAAGATGGAGCTGCAGAACATCGACAAGCACACGGGGATCAACACGTGGGTGTGCAGGGACGCGTGTCATCTGATGAAGTCGATCGTCGCCTCGAACTGGAACAGCTGTCACGTGTGCAGCTCGGACAGCGACGGTGTCGAGTGCACTTACTGCGAATCCAGAGTGATCTGGCATCAGCTCTGCCTGCAGTTGGTCACCTACATGGCACCGGAAAATCCAGCTTACCCGCCTGACGTGAGTTCGTTAGGCCATGTCTCCTGAAATAACCGTGATCGCGTCGCGACGTGTTTCTACACGTGGATCGTTCAATGACGCACTTCTACCTCGTCGCGATAGATCGACCACGACGGTGTCTCAGGGTCTCAGCCCTGCAGTAACGATGTATTTCGAGCTGCAAACTCAACCAGCCACAGAGCTGAAAAGTTATTCTATTACAGAAAATTAACCCCCCTTGCGCTACGATTTCTTTCGCATATAATAAAACGAGGCAACTTTTGTTTCTTGCAACACTTCATTTACTTTCATTCCCAGATTTTGGTGATAGAAGAATCTTTTAGGAATTCATTGCTTTTATTTATGTACTAGAGGATAATTTCTAATTTAATTATTGAACTTGGTGGATTACTTAGTAGATTACCGAAGTAGAGTATACTTAGTGGATCGAACGTCCAAGACGTGTCGATCGAACGTTTTTAATCTTGTTACTGGTTCAAATACTCCGCTTATTAAAGAAATTTAAATAGCAAGAATCTATATTATTCGTCTTCAATCCTTTACTAAAGTGAAAAAGTGTAATACAATAATTTAGTTTTGCAGTTATTTTTATGATCTTAAATTATATTCGTATTATATGAATATTATATTATATTCATATTGTAAATTATTTAAAGATCGTGGTAGGTCAAATTGCCAAAAGATAATGCAATTTTAAGACGATCTTTAAATGTTTAGAAAATCTATATTATCGTTTGTACGTCATTCTAATTTTATTAAATAATATATGAAAGCAGAAATGTGCAATAAATATCCGTAATAAATGGGCAATAAATGTTCGTGAAGCAAAATAGTAACATACGAATATACTAATTGGTAAAATATTCGAAAATGCAACGAAGATACACTGAAGTGGCTGAAATAATGGCGAAACTTGGCGCTTAATTTTCGTGCAAAAAAGCTCGAACGGATTACAGTAAAGTCTCCCTAATTTACGCTCAGATTGTGCACAAAAATGGACAATTTTGGAAGAAGAGTTACAATTATTCGAGTCTTGCGGTTCGTTTTTGTAGTTACCAATTGTCAACGACTATAAAAACCAGCTGTAAGACTCGTATCACCTCTTCACAAATTGTCCACTTTTGTGTACAATCTGAGCATCAATTAGGGAGAATTTACTGGAATCGGTAGAGAAAGCTCGAACGGATTAATCACTGAAGCAACCGATCATTCTCAAAATCGAAACGATTTCGATGTCGTGTATTTTTGCAGAAAATCGTGGACGAGAACGCGGAGGATCACGGTCGCAAGAGCCCGGAGGGTTCGAGGAAAGGGGACTCGAAAGCAGACGTGGTGATCAGCATGCCGGTGCCGGAGATGCATTCCGTCGGCGGTGTCCTGGCGCACATGCCTCAGGTATGCTCGACGCGTTCAATCGAACACCGTCACCCTCGATCTAATTAAATGGCTAAATATCTCTATATACACACAAAGTGTTACACCGCCTAACGTACACCGTCTTCTATCTCCCCTTTCTATCTGTGCGAATACACTTCTCTGCAAGAACCAAAAACAAAAACCAAAAACCAAAGCAAACAATGCAGCATGCTCTTCGTCTAAACTGTGTGTGTGCGCGCGCCTATCTCTGTCTCTCTTCTTCCACTGCGAAATGGCGTTGTGTGACCACTGACACGGTAGGCTAATCTATGTGGCCGGAGGTAGCTATTTTGATCGTTTATATCAGTTCTTCGAACAGATCATGACAGCCACTGTAGAGACCGTTTCGGAGCAGCTGGACTTAGCGGCCATCATGCCACCGGAAAAAGTGATATCCGCCGTTGCCAGGGCTGTCACCCTATCGGAGACCGACGTAGGTGAGAACGAGCCCCTTTTTAGTGTGGCAAATATCTTCAAATATTAAAGGGGAGGGACAGTACGACGAGGAAAAATAGGGAACGAAAAGTTGTCAAATATTAAAGGGGAGGGACAGTACGACGAGGGAAAATAGGGAATGGAAAGTTTGTCAGAATAAAAATATCAGCTTCGTGTTTTGATTTTTAGAAAGTGAAGATGTTGATGTACGTATTACAAAATGACAGAATTAGACACAATACGGTACATACAAGAGAATAATCGATCAACCTGAATGCTCGGTAGCGATGTCTGACCACATACAGACTCGTTCTACTTCGATGAATTAATTACTCCCGTTGAATAACTGAGTGCTATCGACCGTGGCTAACTACCAGTTACATGTCTGGCCATATGTTGGCTTGTACTACCCTAAAGCTTACAGAATTAGGTCCATCGAATTCAGCACTTTAGCTCATTAATACACTCGACGATAACATTAAAGCGTCAGTCATTTTTGGCCGAGAAATTGTCAATCTTTGAACGGTCCGTTAAACGCTATTATAAAATCATGATTAAACAAAAATTAATCCCTGAAATCTCTGTTTTACGATAGCATTTTTCTAATTTTGAATATCATGCGTTCTCACGACTGTAGTATCCTAAACCCGAAGGCGTGTTCGCGATACCGAAAAAGTGCAGAGTTTAGCGCCCTCCATGGAGTTGCAAAAATTTTCTTCGAGCATGTCTTTCACAGCATCGTAAAATTCGGATCTTCCTCTTTAATTCGAGGGCTAAATTAAGTCGCAGCGATTTTTTCGGGGATCGCCAATTTTAAAAAATTACCGACGCTTCAACTTTGCTGTCGAGCGTAGACTCATAGCGTGTATAAGTCTTCAAAAGTTCTAAGCGAAGAAAACAGAAGTTCCTCGAATTGTTCATAGAAATAGAAGTTTGTAGTGCTGTTTTCGAGTCTGCTGATCGAATGAGTTTCTTTCAGCTACGGCAACGGTGAGCGTGGCGAAGCCTCGATTAATCGGAGCGAATGATCAGCCATTGAATCTCAGTCCGGAGAACGACGACGCCGATTTTTGGCACACGTCTGTTGGCAAGTTTCGTTTCAAGATCGAGGACCTTCCGGAGCAGTTGCAGTACATTCACAAACTCTTGAAGGTAGCCGAAGCCAATTCTATCCTTTCAAAAAATTCGTTTCGCTTTCATCGCGTACTAAATGCAAAAAAGGGATCATAGAGTCCAGGGAGCCTATAAATTTAACACTTTTAACAATTTATATTTAACAATTCATTTGTTGTCCATCGTAGGAAATAATGACGATCGAGAAGCCGGACATCCTTTACTATATGCTGCAGTGCTTGAACGTGATGTGTTTGTACGGTGACGCCTTCAACATCGCAGTCAAGGACCACCGAGGATTCTTCACCTGGTGCCAAGAGAATCTCTTGATCAAAAAGTGAGAAATCGTATCCTATTTCCTCCTAATACTGGTCCAGCTATTCTTGACTAACTCGGCCGCAGATCTTTATGCGAAATGAACATTTTCTTCACTAATTTCAAGAAATGAGAGTTGAATGAGATTCAAGAATTGGCAAGAATTAATAATATTATAATTAATAAATCAAAAATTAATAAGAATTAAGATTAATCAAGAATTAGTAAAAATGAAGATTAATCAAGAGAATTAGTAAAAATTAAGATTAATCAAGAATTAGTAAAAATTAAGATTAATTCTGTTAACCCTTTGTACTTGAAAAATTCTCTCTGATCACCTACCAAAAACTCGAAGTAAGTATCATTTTAACAGTCAAAGTGGGGCTCGGGTCCAATTAGACCCACAGTATAAATATTGTTATTTAACTATCTAATATTGTTTACAACTATCATATTTAACTGATCCAGCTTCTGACAATTATTTTAAATCGTCAAAAATATTTCATTGAAGTCTATCAAAATCTTAAATATCTAGAAGGAGCATCTTAAAGAATATGTGTTGAAAAAGTTAATAAATAAAATTATAAAGAATTCTAAGCATACTAATATTTTGCTCGAAAAGGTCAGCTATTCGAATGTTAAAAACAATATAAAACGATGAAACATTGGAAATAATTGGACAGTACAAATACAAATTTGATAAAAGATTGCAATGATACAGATTTCATGAAACAAGAATTCTTAATTTTTGAATGTATCATAATGATTTGATAGTTTCAATTATTTAAAAATATGTCTTATACGACGTTCTTTCTACGTTGTGCTTCGTGTTGTCATTTTTCCCATAAACGCATAAAATCCGCGGTCTACTCACAACCGAGTCTTTACGACTGCAACAATTTGCTCTTTAATCGGTTCGACTTTCAGCTGAATGAAAAGTAACAGATATTCTGTGCAGACTCCAAGTAACTATTACTCTATCAATTATAGATTATCCTCCGGTGTTTAAACAGAATTTTGTTTGTCACAGTCTATGGGAGCTGCTGAACGCAGAGTACTCGCACATAGCGCAGATCACGGTGCCGTTGTTGCTCCACTGCGTCACTCTGCCTTGTGGAACCGACACATTTTGGAGACTGATCCAGGAGGAGTTCCATAATTCTGATTGGCGAGTTCGCTTCGTGGCAGGTAATCGAGTTAACTGTGGTCGCATAGAGAAGATAGATCAGGATGATATATGTTTCGTGTTCGTTGTTCGTCAGTCGAGAGGGTGACGTTGATCGCTAGATTCATGGACTCGACACCTCTGAGGAACGTTACCAGTCTTCAGGCTGCGCTGGCAAACGCTTTCTGCTATCTGATAGCTAGCATGGACGATGGCAACGTTTATGTCGCTCAGAGAGCTACCTTGTTCCTTGGCACTATCCACGACGCGGCCATGAGGGTACGATCTTGCAGAGATCATTTATAAGAAATTTTTAACGACCCAGAAGATTGTAACTGTAGCATCGAGAGAGTAGATCAATTATGCTCTCAGTCTGGTTTAGCTGCAAATCTTGCGGAAGAAAAATAATTAAAGTAAAGGTACCTATCGCGAAACACCGGCACGATAAAAAATTGATAGAGCTTGTATACAAAGAAGTGAATGTAAAAATTCTACCCGCATCTTTGAACATTGATCTTTATAAATTCACTTGCACAAATACTCTTGTATAACAATCAGCTGTAGAAAGAAAATGTTTATTCGAATACGGTTCTTTCTAAGCAAGAAACATTATGTTCCATATTGTGTACTTCAATTTTTAACGTACTTCAAACGATGTTCCATTATAGCACTTTATTAGTGTAATCGAATATATTTTTTCTTCATATTAAATAAATATTTCAACGTTCATTACGTTATCTAGACACATCAATCTGTCGAACGGTACCATAAATATTCAACAATAACACGTTTCAGTTGTAATAAAATCGATGATAATCTCGTACTGTGTTCCATAATAGGTACTTTTATCTTAGAGTTACTGATTCACTTATTAGAGGTGAAATTCCATCAGAAAAATATCATCAAACGAAATTCGATAGGCTTGAGAAAATAAAAAGGAGAACGAGGGTATTAAACCCTTAAGTGATTCGAGAATTCAAGAACCTGGGCTAACATTGCCTATCGTGTTTCTTTGTTATCGAATAGTTTGCTAAGCGACGTAATCTTTTTACTTAACAAAAAGTGACGAAATAGATAAAGTAAACTTTTACGGTGTAGGAACACCTGTTATTTGTCAGTTTGTTCGGTAGGTTTAGCGTTAATTCTTCGATGTACATATGTAAGTATACGTTTGTTCCTCTCAGTCGCTGATCCTCTGTCTGGAGACTCAGTTCGATTCAGTGATAGTGGACCGACCGATGGTGCTGCAGTCTCTCTACCAGCTGCACAACAGTCTGAGCGACAGACATATCTTGACCTGGGAGTTCTTTTTGAATCGATTCGATACCCTGTTTCTCGAGGCTCAGATCAGCTTGGAGAGATCGGGAGATATACCCTATCTGCGCGGTGAGTGTCTCGATCGAAAATCGGCGGGGTTGATTCCATGCTTATTCTTGCGCCGACGAAGAATTTTGTGGAAGGAAGAATAAGAGGGAGAAACGAATTCTGCTTTATAGATCTCAGGAACACGGATCTCAACAGCGAGATCTTCATAAAGAAGCTGCACAGGGCTCAGGAAGCTCTGTCGCAATCCGATGGCAGCGGGACGAACTCGATAAAGACCTTGAGTGCAAGCTTCGGCACGAAATGGCCCTACAAACGGACTATGTCAGCACCTGCGTCCATGATCCCTCGGCAAGACACGAAGCAAGGTAACAGGGTTCAGGGGTTTCGAAGGCATTCGAGATTTGGACTGCGGATTTTAAAATACCGTGTCGAGAGAAAGTATTCTTGTGCTCTTTAAAACTTTTGACAGAGGCTTCATAATTAATCAATTTGAGTAAACTCTGCTCTATTTTTTTTTAAATTTCTCCATATCAAAGATCCGCAGTCCACCGAAACTCCTGAAACCGAATCACGCGAATCATTGCTGAAAGCTTGACGAAATACTGATCAGAACTAGACCCTCGTCGGACCATGCAAGCTAGACTAACGCCAGAGAATAGATAGTAGATCGTCCGAACATTACGCCGTACAGTGGTACCTTTTCCCAAAATTTTTACCAAAATACAATATCTTAAATATATTGTAGCAAAAAGCTACTGTAGTACAAATGTTGTGTACAATACACAGCATTATTTTGAAAATACCGTGCATGGTTACTGAGATATACTGACCTGCTCTGTCAAGATTCATGGCTTAAAATAATATCTCAACTACAAGTTTAAGATGTCATCAATAGACTACAGATCTTTATGACAAATAGCAAGTTTCCACCACGATTGTAACAAACAAGAGCTAAAAATAGAAATTTCATCTCATTCCTACCGTTTATGACATATAAATGATAAACAGTCGAACAATATTGTTTTTATCCACTGCACTTACTGTTTCGTAATCCAGCAATTCGCGTCAACAATGTTGCAGATATTTGAATTGGGATAGTCATATTAAATTTTGTATTCTAATTATACAACTATACTCATTCGTAAAATAATAATTCTTCAAAAATAAGTTGAAAACAATGCTTACGTCAGTAGCGTCCAATTTTCCATTTTGATTGGCGATTTCTATAAAAATCGTATGAAATTATGAACTGTGTCCAACTATTTGGGAAATGGTAGAACCGTGCGTCGGTGTTCTAGTAAGTCCTTAAAAAATCAAATTAACAGACACGATTCATGAAGACTCGATCGTCTGTGGTGACTTCGTTAAACTGAACTGTTTCACATGATTTAGTCGACGCTTGACCGTACACACGCGTGTGTTGTCTTTTTTTTTTGACTTGTGTTCCACCTCCCTGACCGCGCAGAAAAGGAAAAGGTGTACAGCCGGCAATACTCGGCGCCTATCCTGAAGCGCAAGAGCTCCAGATTCGGACTGGGTCAGTTGCTGGGGTCCACCCCACCTAATAACAGTATACCAGGTAGAGTAGTGTGTCTGCGCTGCCCAAAAACAAACGTGGCATTCCTCTGTGTTACGCGGTTCAATGTTCCCGTGTTCCCCGCCCACTCTGTATATGCGATACTTTATCATGTTGTCGAGGATGTCGACGTTCGGGATAGGTGTGTGTTCGATGTGGGACCATCGGTAAGTCCCTGTCTATGGGGTAACTTGGAGGATTGCTTTGGAAGCTGGGCTTGACGCTGCGCTAAGGAGATGAGCAAATCTTTATGTTCGAGCAAATATGGACATTGATGCAGAGAACATCCATAAGAGAGACAGATCGTTTTGAAAAAGTCAATCTTATTTTCCGATAGCTGGCCAATCATTTTTCATTTGAAGATGCACGAACAGGACATACGTAAATGTGACGAATCGTTTTACGAAGTCGATCTTATTGTCCGGTAACTGGCCATTGATTTTTCATTTGGAAATGGACAGGATATTCATCGATTACATAGACTGTTTTAAAAAGTCAATCTTACTGTCTGGTAGCTGACTATTTATTTTTCATTTAAAGATGAATCATTTTGTGATAAATGAGACTAATCGTTTTATAAAGTCAATCTTACTCTCTATCTGTTAGTTGGACATTTATTTTTCATTTAGAAATTGATGTACAGAACATTCATCAATTACGCAGATTGTTTTACAAAGTCAATCTTACTGTCTGGTAGCTGGCCATTTATTTTCCATTTAGAGATGAATCATGTTGAAATAAGTAGGACTAATCGTTTTATAAAGTCAATCTTACTGTCTGCAAGCTGACCATCTCTTTTCCATTTGGAAATTGATGTACAAGGCATTCATCACTCACACAGATTGTTTTAGAAAGTCAATCTTGCCGTCTGCTAGCCGACTTATTTTACAAAGTCGATCTTACTATCTGGTTATCCATTTTCATGTGTCGATGCATGGACGGAACACTCATAAATGAGACAAATCGTCTTATAAAATCAATTCTGCCATCTGGTAACTGGACATATATTTTTTACTTTGGGATTGATAGGTCGAGGAGTTCTATAATTTTTTCGAGTCAAAGTTCAACGGTTAGACCTGGTGCACTGTTTAGTTCAATTTTATCCAGAAGCAGATCTTTGCTTTTATTTGCTTCTTGCAAAAATATATAAATTGATTTACTGTCAACAATTTATATACGTAGTGATTTAACAAGTGAACGTTTTCAAAGATTGAAAAATATATTATGATATATGTTATAAATGTTTAAATATATTGTGAACGGTGCACTGGGTTATAAAATTCTGCTCATCTCCGTATAGATTGAAGCTCCAAAGTCTCGGATTGCTAATCACGATTTTTGGGAATCATATTACATGATTTCAACTTTCCTAAATCGTGTACTAGCGATTCGAAATGCTTAAGTATTCGTATGGCTGCTGATAATCGAGCTGAGTATGCTTGTTCTGGGATTGGTTCTTACTTTCTTGAATGCGATTAATCATTACAACGAGTAGTAGTTTCCTTGTATATATATCTTAGAATAGATTACTCGTTGGCTTTTATATTATGATTAATTCATATTGCATTCTCTGCTGTGCTATGCTTTTCTATAAATATTGCGAGTCTTTTTAAACTTGAGCGCGAAGAAATTGGTTGTTCAAGATCACTTTAGCGGTCATACTATTAGGTCATTAAACATGAAATGCATACTTTAGTTTGCGATTTTGCTATAAAATCTATGCATTTCATACTTAATGATTTAACCATTCGGATCTTTCCGTAAATGTCGTGCAGTTGGAGAAAATACCTTGAACGACCATTCGATTTTGCGACGATCGTAGCTAATGCCTGGACATTCCTCTTTCATTAATTTTAAGTCGACTTGTGATACTCTTACTATACATCTTCTTCTTTTCGTAACGAATCTTAGACACTAACTTATAATCTATCTATTGTATGATAACGATGGTAAGATTCTTTCCTTTGACCTGACTTTCTGTAGACAAGAATTTTCCTTCCGACTTTTCTTTGCCCTGCCGAAGAAGTGCATACGTTAATATCGTTCACCGTTGCAGATGGCCATGTGCATTCGCTCAACATGGTCGATGAGACCAGTGCACTACCAGGATGCACCAACAAAATCGTCGACTACGAGGAAGCCGACAAAGAGACGATGCACCTGCTGGTGTTCCTACTGATGCAGTTTCTATCCAGACAAGACCAGGTAAGACAATTCATTCTTTTTCCAATCCTTCTGGTTCTGACCGATATAATCCACAATTATAATATAATATAATCCACACCATACAATTTCCCGTCTAATAATTGCCTGACAGTTATAACTAGACTACGCATGTTTATGCAAAATATAAATTTTCAAAGTGGTTGCAAGAAATAGGAGTGAAATAAAAATTAATTATTTCTTTTAATAATTTCGAGAAGTCAAAAAGTAGCGTAATAAAATCATTAAATTCTCCTAATATCTTCGCAATTTTATGTTTCATCCACTTATTTTTGCCAGATACGCATAAAATCCTCAGTCTAGTAATAACTCATTCGATAGATTTGGATTTCTCCTGTTGCGCGATTGTTTACTTATTCGTTCCGCGTGAATAATAAAGTGATTAAATGTTTGAAAACTATGGAGTGTCAAGTTAACGAGAACGAACATTTACGATTTAATATATTCATTCTTGTTAACTTTGACACGCCATAATATATATTTTCAAAGAAGTACAGTAATTTCTGCCGAAAATTCCAAATTTCGGATTGCTGTGAATTTTCCTCTGCGCTAGTCCTACGCCTATGTAATTTGTTGCTACATCGATGCCATCTGGCCTCCGAATTGTCTTCGAATCATGTTATGTGGCCTCCGAATTGCCTTTGAATCGCGCCACGTAGCCTCCGAATTGCCTTTAAATCGTGATAAGGCCCGAAGAATCGCGACTTAGTATTCTCAGATCTGCCGGTTTCAATTCCGACCTCCATGAAATTACTGTAATCAGTTTATTACTCACACGAAACGAATAAGTAAACAATCGGCCAACAAGAGAAAACAAATGCTATCCTATGAGACATAACTGTTAGGCAATTATTACGCCAGAAATTTAGTTCGAGATTAAGATCTCACAAACTTATGGTCCGACGTATTTAGAATCATTACTTTATCAACATAATTCATAGGCCTACCCGACGGACGAGAAGCCATTGTCCAAGACCCAAGGAATCGTTCTGAGACACCTTTACCTCCTGTTAGGCTACAACCAGACTGANCGATTTTGCTATAAAATCTATGCATTTCATACTTAATGATTTAACCATTCGGATCTTTCCGTAAATGTCGTGCAGTTGGAGAAAATACCTTGAACGACCATTCGATTTTGCGACGATCGTAGCTAATGCCTGGACATTCCTCTTTCATTAATTTTAAGTCGACTTGTGATACTCTTACTATACATCTTCTTCTTTTCGTAACGAATCTTAGACACTAACTTATAATCTATCTATTGTATGATAACGATGGTAAGATTCTTTCCTTTGACCTGACTTTCTGTAGACAAGAATTTTCCTTCCGACTTTTCTTTGCCCTGCCGAAGAAGTGCATACGTTAATATCGTTCACCGTTGCAGATGGCCATGTGCATTCGCTCAACATGGTCGATGAGACCAGTGCACTACCAGGATGCACCAACAAAATCGTCGACTACGAGGAAGCCGACAAAGAGACGATGCACCTGCTGGTGTTCCTACTGATGCAGTTTCTATCCAGACAAGACCAGGTAAGACAATTCATTCTTTTTCCAATCCTTCTGGTTCTGACCGATATAATCCACAATTATAATATAATATAATCCACACCATACAATTTCCCGTCTAATAATTGCCTGACAGTTATAACTAGACTACGCATGTTTATGCAAAATATAAATTTTCAAAGTGGTTGCAAGAAATAGGAGTGAAATAAAAATTAATTATTTCTTTTAATAATTTCGAGAAGTCAAAAAGTAGCGTAATAAAATCATTAAATTCTCCTAATATCTTCGCAATTTTATGTTTCATCCACTTATTTTTGCCAGATACGCATAAAATCCTCAGTCTAGTAATAACTCATTCGATAGATTTGGATTTCTCCTGTTGCGCGATTGTTTACTTATTCGTTCCGCGTGAATAATAAAGTGATTAAATGTTTGAAAACTATGGAGTGTCAAGTTAACGAGAACGAACATTTACGATTTAATATATTCATTCTTGTTAACTTTGACACGCCATAATATATATTTTCAAAGAAGTACAGTAATTTCTGCCGAAAATTCCAAATTTCGGATTGCTGTGAATTTTCCTCTGCGCTAGTCCTACGCCTATGTAATTTGTTGCTACATCGATGCCATCTGGCCTCCGAATTGTCTTCGAATCATGTTATGTGGCCTCCGAATTGCCTTTGAATCGCGCCACGTAGCCTCCGAATTGCCTTTAAATCGTGATAAGGCCCGAAGAATCGCGACTTAGTATTCTCAGATCTGCCGGTTTCAATTCCGACCTCCATGAAATTACTGTAATCAGTTTATTACTCACACGAAACGAATAAGTAAACAATCGGCCAACAAGAGAAAACAAATGCTATCCTATGAGACATAACTGTTAGGCAATTATTACGCCAGAAATTTAGTTCGAGATTAAGATCTCACAAACTTATGGTCCGACGTATTTAGAATCATTACTTTATCAACATAATTCATAGGCCTACCCGACGGACGAGAAGCCATTGTCCAAGACCCAAGGAATCGTTCTGAGACACCTTTACCTCCTGTTAGGCTACAACCAGACTGAAAGGACTTTCCACACTTCTCCTCAACGTTTAAGGTACCCTAATTCAAGCAACAATGTTTTCCTTTTCCATTTCGTTGATCAATCATAATTCTGTAGGGTTTCTCCGGTGTTCAACGTCTTCATCGCCAACCTCCCCCAACTTCTGGATCAAAATCACGTAATGGGATGGGTGATGACACCTCCAGTGCTAGCCATTCTACAACATTCCCCTTGCCCTCCTCAAGGACTGCCCACCATGGACCATCAAGCTCCAACCTACAGCCTTTGGTACCTCGAACCCCATAACAGGCGATCCTGGCTCATGGCTCTTCTAGTAATCCTTTACAAGGTACAAATGACTTATTTCGAACTGATCTTTTTCTACACTCTGTAAAATTGTCAGCATTCTCTGCTATTGTCCTGTTCAGTGTCAATACGGTCAGCAACCCTGGTGCAACCAGCTTCAGGTGTTAATCAAGATCGTGCTGAATACGCTGGACATGCAGCACCATCAGTGCAAGAAGATACCTGCCGCGGTGGTGATGAGTGCTCCGCCTTCTAGATCACGTGGTAGCTCAATCTTTAACCAATCTACTTTATTTCTATCTTCGCAAATTGTTCGTAAATAAACTACTCGCGAATAAGGTAATAGTAACTTATCCGCGAAAAAATTATTCGTGAATATAATTATTAAATTATTTATTCATTCGAATAATAATATAGATAAGAAGTTATTCGAATAATGCCAACTCTGCCTTAGAGCTGGCTTCGACTTTGATCAATCGCGTCTCCTTTTAGACGTATCGCAACCGTCCCTCGGCGTGGACCACGACCTAGGAATGAACGCTATAGGAGAACTGAATACCGAGAGTCCTCCCATAAGGACTCCTATGGTCTCGGTGCATCAGCGCAGTCCAGGTGCAACGCACAGTCAAATGGAGACCCACTGGGAGGAAAGCGCGCCGAGCTGTCGCTACAGCAACAAACATTCCAGGTCATTTCACTCATACCTCTGTCCGATTCGACTGCATTTTAGATGAAATCCTAGACCCCCCCCCCACGAGAAGGTAGAGCATTAGGCTAACTATAGCTTGGAATGTTCCTCGACTGACACGTCTGCGGACTTTGCACTTTCATGGATCTTCTTTGAACCTCACCTTTGTCGATCTTGTTATCTCTCTACCAAAAAACGTCCTGCCATAAGAGTAAACTAGACTGCGGATTTTATGCATTTCTAACTGAAAGTTCTGCGGAAAAGTGAACGCGCCAGAAATATTTAAGAATTTGTGAACTATCGAAATTATGAGGAGAAACAATGAATTATTTGTAATTGTCTGCATTTTGCTGACAACGCGGGAAATGTTCATTCTGCACAAAAATCTGCAGTCTAACCCTTAACCCTGTTCGAAAAATCTGAGAAATAGAATCAATAAAGAGCTTGCACTTGGCGAAACAAACAATAACACACTCAAGAATCTGTCAAGTCGATATTTGAACGATCGATCCACAAAATGACAAAGCAACCATAGTAACTGAGACGAGGATAATCACAATTGAATGCGATACCAGATTGTAAATAATATCTTTCCCTCTCTGCGAAACAAATCAACTTCTCTCGAATCGTGAGAACAGAACTTAGTACAGTAGAACCTCGCTTATCCGAACATGTCGAAGGACAACGGAGGATAACAGAGGTTCGTAGGCAGGCTCCGGATTCTGTGGAATAAAATGAACAGCAACTTATCGTGATAATCGAAGACGAGAAGAAACGTTCGTTCGAAGATCCGCGGTCTATTCGTTAACCACCCTCATTAGCCACCTTCGTTAGTTTAACTCTCGTCCCGCCCTCATTTCTCCAACTTAATGTGTCCCTCGTGCGTCAAATTGACACTATATCGTAAAAGACCAATATAATAAGAGGCACAAAATTTCTTTTACTAAATATTTATTGGAAATAAAGGAAAACATATTTGCGCAATGTTCTCCTCACATTTCTCACATGAAACGATGTGTAACTGATTTTATACACGTATATTAATGTGAACTATGCACATTCCGTACTTTACTGTTGCTCATCGTTCAAGTTTGCACTCGTCATCGCTCGCATCCATTCAAAATTCTTCCGAAGTAGATTAGAGTTTAGCTGCCCACGGCTTCTAGGTATTTTTTCGATAAGGCAAGAAGTGACATGTCTTCTCCTGCTCGTGAAATTCATGTCAAATTAACACACAAGACTCTTTTCGTAACAAATACCGTCACATCTTCACGTTGCACGCTTTTTTCATTGATAGTTACACGTGTTTCATGTTAAAAGAATAAAAGTCACAAAGTCCGAGATCAATTTTCCTCAAAAAAATAACAGGATAATATACTCTGAAACTTGAAAATAGCGTCAAATTGACACCGGGAAGGGGTGAGGGTTAATTTTGTCAGATCTAACACTTTCGATCCAATTGCTCACAAAATATCACTGCATCTACACCTGGACAATGTATGTGAAAATTCCTGTACTTTTGAAAACACACCGACCCACAACGAAAACGATCGTCTATCCGACGTGGAGCATTGACTAGTTCGCACAAACGAGGTCCTACGGTAGGAAACCGAGCTGATAGAGGTCGTCGTGAGTACTATACCTCACTGTTGCATTATCAGGATAGCCCGAAGGCTCGAGCATCCTAGAGTGTCCGATTAATAGAGTGTCCAGGAGAGCCAGAGAGAAAGAGAGAGAGAGAGAAAGAGTACATCACTTGTGCCTGTGCTTACACTAGTAGCTGCTTGTTACAATTTCCGCTATTGTGAATGCTCTGCGAAGCTACTCGATCAATGCGGATGATACGGAGTCCGAGCTGGCCGCAATACCCGAGAGCCCAAAATCTGACAGCACCTTACATGGCAGTAGTGGTGGATCGCTCGGCGAGCTGGAGGACACCCCATCTGCTGTCACCAGAAGCATCTCCCTTTACGGTGCCAGGGCATCGACGCCCCTCGACCTCGTCGGAAGGATAGACTGGGCTCATCATCACACCAAAAAGATGGAGATATCTAGGCCCACTTGGTTCTTGGGCAACGAGGAGGATTCTCATCAGGTGATTTACATGACCCTTTTAATCGAACACGATTCCATTGTTTTCCTATTTAACTCTCTTAGTGCCGATCAAAAGAGTCGGGTGTACTTGAACGAAATACATTGCTCAAAAAAATTGTAGCATAGAAAGGTTTTGGATAAAAATTTGCCAACCTTGACTGACGATAACGCCGCGAAAAAATATCGTAGGATGACGACTTTCTTCTTAATTAAAGCTTGAAACCTCTACTTTAAGGTAATGTTTCTGGATTTTAGGTTTCATACACCCATAGGTTTCATTGTAACTCTTTAAATGTAAGGTCATGTTTGTCACGTTAACAATTGCCAAGTTTGACGAAATGTAAAATTTGTAAAAATTTTTTCGAAAATGCCGCTCGCAGCTTAACGAAGTTCGGTTCTTCCCGTTTAATTTAAAAGAAAAAGAAACTCGGCTGCGATTCTTTTTTCGCAAAGTTACAGCACTTTAATGTAACCCTTGCATTTTCAACTTAAAATCATTATAGTGGTGAGGATCTATGGATCTTAAAATCCGGGAAGAATATTTTAAAGTAGAGGTTTTAAGCTTTAGTTTTAGAAAAAAAGTCATCATCCTATGATGATCTTTCGCGAAGTTATCAATGAAAGTTGGCCAATTTCTACGTGAAAGACGCAGAAACTTGTGACTCGTCTTAATGATTTCTTTTTGAAACAGCCACCAAGACCACAGAAGAAGTGGAGCGTCCACGAGGGAGTGAAGATGATGGTGACTAGTCCATTTCTGAGTGGACAAGCGGATTTTCAAAAGATCGCCTCGATCGCTAAAGCATTGCCCGAAAAAATCCCGGAAGGATCAACGCCGGAGAAAGGGATCTTGGAAAGGACGATCACGGAGAAGCCAGCGTGGCAGAAGGCTAGCCAGGAGAGGAATATTACTGTGCAGGTGGCCTTCAATGGGGAAACGGCGACCTCCAAACCCTTTTCGATGGCCACGGCTTTTGCAACCTGTGCATCAATACCGCAGCTTCCAAAGTAATATCGAGTTTTATTAACAAATTTACCTAACACGAGTCTATTAACATTAAACGATCAAATAATCAGTTTCCCAATTTACAATTATAAAAATTACAAAGATATTTCGATGGGTAATGATTAGATAAATTGCAATATTGAAGTAGTTACTATAACGAAAACTGTACAAAAGCTAAATGAATTCGATCTTCTAACTTTTATGAGATAATGCAGATCAGCAATTTTTATTGCTTAGTAGGTGTATAACGTTAAAGATTTTCGATAATAGCACTATATCTTAACCCCTTAGATATTTGAACGCTGAACTCTAAGACATATTTTTCTACTTTGAAGATTTTTCTTTTCTTTCGATTTTCATTTTTTTTTTGTACGCAAAATTGAACACTTGCTCATAATCAGTTTGCGGATTTTTATGCAAAATAAAAATTCTTTTCGTCGATTGCACAAAACGTGAGCCATATAGAAATTTTTTACTTTTTTTTACTATTAATAATTTCAATGTGTTGAAAATAATAAATAAATGTTCCTAAATTCTTTTAATATATATTTTCGTTGTGTGTTCAAAATTTTACCTACCTGTTCTGTTATACATAACATTCGCGGCCTACACATGACACACTTCAATTTTTAACAGTTTATAAAACAGAAACAAGTTTAAACATTGTTTGATATTAGACTTAATTTCACTAATTAAATCAAATTTAATTGCTGCCTCACATAGTCGTCATTCGACTGCAAAGGGTTGAAAGAAGACCATTACCATCTTCAAAAATACAAGAATCGCAAAAGAAAAATGTTACCAAAGATAATTTGTTAATTCGTGAACGAAACTGCTGCCGCTATCGAAAAATTGATTGAATTTGATTCCTAGAATACCCTCTAAGTCCAATTCAGATGATGTTAAAATGTAACGCAACACGATTGCAGACACGAGAAGGAAAAGATGCCAGCCCCATCGAGCAACTCGGACTCGCCAACTTCGAAACATCTGAGTCGCCAGAAGAGGATAGAGCAAACTGTGACTGTAGCATCGCCAGTTTCTCCTGGTCAAGTGGTCACAGTGACCAGTAGCGATCAATCTAGTTCACCAGCGGTCAGCTCGATCTCCTCTCAGATCACCAGCACCGAAAACGGTCAGAATCAAAGCTGGATAGACGTTCCTCAACCTTTGACAACTCCGTTGGTGGAACGACTCTTGCCGATCGGCACCACAAATCGTATTGCAGGTAACAGTAACAAGAAACTGATATGACTGCAGAGTGCAACTGCAGTATTCCCTCTGTAACTGTCGCAACTTTGGGTCTGCCGAGTGTCAGTTACGTAGAGGTAATACATTTCTTTGTGATGTTACGAACGTAGAGAAGGACAGCAATTGAAAAAGAAAGAGAGACTCTTCTTCATTTCATAATCAATACACCTTATTTTCGGTTTCTCTTCGATGAAACTTTTACTATTGCGTTCGTCTTATTTTCCTGATCTATCTCCGTCACTAGAGGGACCTACACTGGATCGAGCCAAAGGTTATATTTAATAAATTGCAGGTTCCAGACCCCCGCAACGAATTCTAGCATGCGAGGAGTCCTACGGCTCGCCAGATTCCCCGCTGTCGAAGATGGACGTGTTAACAGTTAGTAAGTATACTGCGAGTGAGAATTCGGTCAGAACTGAATATTAATCGAGGAATGCGGACAACATGTTCCCCAGGTTCGTCGTTCGACCAGAACAGCGAGACCTGCACCAGCGTGAGCGACATCGCGAGTCCTCGCAGCATCTCTCAGCTGGAGCTACCGAAACCTGAACGATTGCTACCAGTCGGGTCTCAGGGAACCTGCGACTTCAGCGGATTGATCAAGCATCTTCGCCAGGGGCTGAATCTCCACGAGATCGAAGGTATCGTCGAGCGAAGTTTTTCCGTCGGTGTCAATTAATGATCTTATCTTATAGAGGACCGGCAAATTTTCTCATATAAGTCGGTAGATTTATTCGAGAGGGAGAGAAATATTATATTATATGTCCTTTCACAAACTTACTGTCATGGCTCGAGTCAATACATATATTGGCTTTCCGACGCATTGAAGGTTAATTGCTCCTTAACAACGCAGATAAGAAAGAGTTCAGTAACGGAACCGTCAAAGGTGCGAAAGAAACTCTGCCAGCGTCAGTAAAACAAGACAGCACGGCGTCTGACAATGCAGTGAGTCTCGCATTTCAATTACAAAGATTGTTATAATCGTATGAAACTGAAACTGTCGATTATATCGCAGTCAGCGTCTCTGGTGCCAACGTTGAACGAGGTCCACTCGAGCAGATCAACCAGTCCAAGGAGACTGACGAAGCAAGTGGCTCTAGAATCTCCATCCACGGCAATAGAGGTCATAGAACACGAGCGGAGAGCAAAGTTGAAGGACCATGTCAGGATTCAACGTGATAATCCAGGAAGAGCAGGTTTCAACATACATGACGGGCCTATGGCGAGGCACACTGACTCATGGTAGCTTTCAGGATATTTTCAGCAGCAAGTTCCATATACAGGATGTACCAAAAATATCTCGCAATCCGGAAATTAGGGATTCATTAGAAGTAATTTTTTCCTCAGCGAAAAACCAGTGACCAATACGAGGCGAGATCAGCTGGCGCGAGACGGCCGAGCCAATGGGCGGAACTGGGCTTCGTGCGCTCGTTGGCTGGTCCGCCACGCGCCAGGCGAGCTCGCCTCTCATTGGTCGGTGTTTTTCGTNCAACATGTTCCCCAGGTTCGTCGTTCGACCAGAACAGCGAGACCTGCACCAGCGTGAGCGACATCGCGAGTCCTCGCAGCATCTCTCAGCTGGAGCTACCGAAACCTGAACGATTGCTACCAGTCGGGTCTCAGGGAACCTGCGACTTCAGCGGATTGATCAAGCATCTTCGCCAGGGGCTGAATCTCCACGAGATCGAAGGTATCGTCGAGCGAAGTTTTTCCGTCGGTGTCAATTAATGATCTTATCTTATAGAGGACCGGCAAATTTTCTCATATAAGTCGGTAGATTTATTCGAGAGGGAGAGAAATATTATATTATATGTCCTTTCACAAACTTACTGTCATGGCTCGAGTCAATACATATATTGGCTTTCCGACGCATTGAAGGTTAATTGCTCCTTAACAACGCAGATAAGAAAGAGTTCAGTAACGGAACCGTCAAAGGTGCGAAAGAAACTCTGCCAGCGTCAGTAAAACAAGACAGCACGGCGTCTGACAATGCAGTGAGTCTCGCATTTCAATTACAAAGATTGTTATAATCGTATGAAACTGAAACTGTCGATTATATCGCAGTCAGCGTCTCTGGTGCCAACGTTGAACGAGGTCCACTCGAGCAGATCAACCAGTCCAAGGAGACTGACGAAGCAAGTGGCTCTAGAATCTCCATCCACGGCAATAGAGGTCATAGAACACGAGCGGAGAGCAAAGTTGAAGGACCATGTCAGGATTCAACGTGATAATCCAGGAAGAGCAGGTTTCAACATACATGACGGGCCTATGGCGAGGCACACTGACTCATGGTAGCTTTCAGGATATTTTCAGCAGCAAGTTCCATATACAGGATGTACCAAAAATATCTCGCAATCCGGAAATTAGGGATTCATTAGAAGTAATTTTTTCCTCAGCGAAAAACCAGTGACCAATACGAGGCGAGATCAGCTGGCGCGAGACGGCCGAGCCAATGGGCGGAACTGGGCTTCGTGCGCTCGTTGGCTGGTCCGCCACGCGCCAGGCGAGCTCGCCTCTCATTGGTCGGTGTTTTTCGTTAATAACTCGTAAACAAAGCCGCGGATTGAATTTTTGCTAAGGAAAAACTTGCTTCAAATGATCCGAGGAACCTTTCATTCCCGGATTACGAGACATTTTTGGAACACCCAGTAGATTGAACGCTGACTATGTGACTTCGCGGTTCTAGGCCTGGGCCGCAATTGCAGAGCAACTATGAAGTCGTCTCGCAAGCTCATCGCGCTGATTATAATATGAAGCATAGCCTGTTTCGCATTGGCGATGACTGTATTCACGAGAGGTAATTACAGAAGCCCTATTAATTGATCGGAAGAACATTCAGTCAACCATTTTGTGTAATTCTGATTCTATTATTTAGATGCTCCGATTGCGGAACGCTGAAGGAAGAGTATTCCGACGAAGAGCTGGGTCTCTGTATCATCAATCTGGGAACGTTCATTCACCGCGAACCGTCCCTAGCTGCACCTCTTCTGCCAGAGATCTTGAGAGTCGTGACAAAGTGAGTTACGATTGTGTTGGTAACGACGTTTCGTGGTATTCAAGATCTTTAGATGGTTTGTCATGTTCACAGAGTGGCCCTAAACGCGATGTACCCCTGGCAGAGCGAGACGAACATGCACCTGCCAGGTGGTGCGATCAGCGTGGCGCATCAATTTTTACGCTGCGTTCTTCATCAATTGGCGCCCAATGGAGTGTTCATACAGATGTTCCAAACGCATTTGAATGGTAGATTTCGCAAGCTTAAAACCTCGTTGTAATTGTCCTACTATTGACAGTTGTCTCTTCGTTTTTTAGAATCTACAAGGATGCAATTCTTCAGGAGTGTCGCCCAGGCCCTGGTCGACTTCAATGAACTGAACCCTATTGCTCCTTTACAGTTGCTACTTGAGGTAATCCCCGTTTCTGCATAATCTCTAGATGAACTAATATTTAGCTGTGAAGCAACTAATCTTAGTCGCAAGCGCACTAGACTGCAGTAGACGATTATTTAGATACCAGGTCGTTTCAGGCATTAAACACGAAGAAGTCGCTACCTACAGAACGGCTTCCGGTGATTCTGTACAACATTGCCTCCTACTTAGACTGTCTGCCATTGGAGGCAGGTCTAGGTCCAGGTGCGACGACCTGGAGCGGTCTGTTGGCGCAGTTCGACACCCTGTTTCGAAGACTGACGCTGATGTTGCCCTCTATCGAGGACACCACGCCGTTGCTGAGAACCATAATCTCCTTGCTGAAGGTTCCGGGAATCCAACAGTCGAAGGTCAGTCGTTCGTTCGTAATTTAAGGACCAGTTTCGTCCTCTGAATTTACGGTAGTCATCGAAGTCGTTTTCGCAGAGCATGCTGGACCCGTTCGCCAAGGTGTTAAGCTACGCTATACAGAACTCGACGATCAAGTACAGCTACCTGACCGACCTGTGCCACCTGTGCCACAGAACCTTCACGCGAGACAGGGACAAACACTTTTTCGGAAGGACAATAGTGTTCGAATTGGTTCAGGCTATCAAATTCAAGACCACTATACCCGATACTAATTTCCTGTTGTTGCTACACTTTGTTCTTCAGGTAAGCCGATGACAAAATATTGTAAAGAGACAGATCTTCGCCGAAGAAGTTTCAGCTAAGTGTTGCAATAGAAGATTGCGCTCGTCTCTGATGCAGAGTAAATTCGAAACACTGATTTGGCACTTATGTCGAGTCACTTTATTGATCAAATTGATAACAAACTCAACGATCTTCAACATCCAGGACATTGGAGGTTCACTACCCAACACAATCGCATTGGACAACATCCAGGCAGACATATCACCAATCTACAATACAAATGCTTCGGAAACCCTGAAAACTCAGCTGCCAGACGTTCTCGAATTCTTGGCAGACTTTCACACGCTCAGCAAAGTGAAGGTAGAGATGAAGATACCGCACTTCCTGGTACAAATCGTGTTCAGTTTTTAATGGTATTTGGCTGCTTAGAGTTACAGCAAAGGAATGCAAGCAGGACTGAACGAAGACACTCTCGGGGGAATACTGAAGTGCGGATTGGCGCAGTATGTGGCGCTAGAGCTTACGAAAGGCAGCACCAGGGAAAATAGAGTAGTTCTTCGGTATCTACCATGGCTTATCATTGCTCCATCAACGTTACAGCAGGGGTAAGAGTTTTTTTAGTTTGTCCGATCAAGTCAGAAGAATATAACAGTCTTCATTTTCATCAAATTGGTGAACGAAAATCGATTTTACTCGACGGAGATCAACTTTATGTTTAACTCTATCTTCAAACAGTTGCATTCCCTATTTTTCTAGGACTTCGAAGCGTACAGGCGCGTTAACTATCGTCATTTAGTTCAAAGAGGACTTTAACCGTATTAAAAATCCCTGTACTTGCAAGAAAAGTAAAAGTTCAACGTTTGTTTAGAGCTCGCGAGTACCTTGACTGCATAGGACACATCAGGCTGCTCTCTTGGCTTCTTTTGGGTTCCCTCACGCACACAGCTATGTTCTCTGGAATGAACAACACCCACAACCATAATCCACCGTGGCCAGTAGCGCAACCAATTCCTCAAGAAGTGTCCTGCTACGTCGCCGATCACGTTCAAGTGATATTTTCCGGCTTCCCCGAACAGTCCAAGGAGTCCAAGACATCGGTCCTGTACATGTCCTCCTTGTTCCATGCCTTCATACTTTGCCAGGTACCCTAAACTATCCTAGCACCTTGAGTAATTTCGATCCAGCCTCTATAAAGAATACTGTAATTGTCCAGCTGTGGACCATGTACCTCGAGGAGCTGTCAAAGAATAATCCGTCGAACAGCGAGAGCCATAATCTCACAATGAACATGCTGCTAGAGTTCTGGGGCAGAATAACTCCCTGCATATTGCATCTAGTTAGCTGCTCCAAAGTGGTAAGTTGCGGTCCGGTAAAGTGAACGTCAACGCTTTTGTCCCGTTTTTCGAAATTCGTATTTTTAGGTGGCTGAAATGGTGAATCTACATTTCCTGAGTCTACTGGAAGCTCTTTTGGAATGCGGCTCCATCTTGCTCAGCAAGCTGCTGCCACTTTGGAGTCCCATTTTGTACTCTCATCATGTTCAGGTTCAAAGTTTGAAAACTTATGTGCACGATTCATAGTCTACTAATGAAACCATTTGTATCTTTTTAGAGGCATTCGTGAGAAATATTCTAACGTAGAATTCTGTTCCCTTTAGCTACCTGGTCACTTGCAGATGCGTCTGCAGAACTGCAGGGACTTCCCACCTAGCAAGATGACCACCGAGAGCTTCACCCCGTCCAGGCGGGAATCGAACGCGACGCTTTTGAGGTGGTTGCACAGGCTGCAGTTCAAAATGGGACAGATCGAGCTGCAATCTTCCACCGCCACGTTACAGTTCTACTCGATTTAGAAGAAAGACGAGTTCTCGTTTAGTTGGACAGAGAGTATTTTCTATATAAATAGAGTATCTGCGGCGATGTTGAATGTTGTATCGTTTGAGAACGAATGTTAGCGGATGCCGTACGTTACCGGTTGTTACAAAAAATATATTTATAATGTTAAATATTGGTGCGGTTGGTCATTCATCCAATTAATTGATTCAAAAGTGAAGCGTGGAGGTTTATCGCGACAATTTTTAACGTTTTCGATAAGACGAGATATAGGTGTTCCCATGAAATGCCGCATAATCAGCCTCGATAAGACTATTAGTCATTCCGCACATGGCAGTATGGCATGACATGTGAAGAATTTAAGTGAAGATGATAACAGCCTAGGGATTTTAGTTCACCAATGATTACTACTAAACGACGCTTGATGCTTTTCTAAATTAATATATGCGGTGATAGTTGCTAGAAATGATCTACTTGGGCAATAAAAGAATAAATTGGTTCTGGCAAAGAATATTTTCGGAAATATTTATTCTTTAAACATTTTCACGTTTTTTTTTTTAAAGAGAATAGATATGCTCGATATAATTTGAGAAAATACAACATTCGATTGTTAGCTATTGTGTAACGAAAAATAAAGTTTAGCAACAATAACTTCGTACGTCCTCTACTGGAGATCGAATAAAACGCTTGTAACTGTTTTATCAACAGAAACAATTTGAAACCATTACGTCCATGGTGGTATGTACCTCGTCTAGAATGTACTCCATTAATATGTGCATACAAGAGTCGGTAATTTTGACGAACAGTTTAAAGGATTAAGGTAGTCACGTAACTTCACGGATTGAGCAGGTCGGTAACTGCTGTACAGATTTCGTTACATAAACGGTATTATCTAGAGATGTGTAGCTGTTTGATAAATACGAGATGGAGACACCGGCGTTTTCTATTAGGAATGAAAAACAAGCTTATAATTTAAATAGTAATATTCTCCGGAACGAGAAATGCAGTGACATTTTCTTATAACTTTTGAACCATTGGAGGTATTGCAATTATTCACTAGAAATATTTAAAAAATAATCATCCTTAACTTTAGGTAATTTAATATTTGTTGCATTTGTTGAGCAATAATTTTTAATTAATTTCGATTGATGTTTTCGATAAATATGGAAAATAAATCTTGAAAATAGTTTTTGATTTATTATTTGAAAAAATTTTTGTTAAAGTATGGAAAATCATGATTTTCGCGTACGTTTACATGTATTTGGTATATGACTCACTAACAAATTAAATGGAAAAGTGGCCAGTGGGTTGCTTAGCTTAAATATACTTCTAACAAACGGAATTGTTGTAAATATTAAGAATATTAAGAATTCATTGATGCGGAGGTTTTTCTGAGTTTATTTGTTGAAAATTTTTTTTGCAGGTTTCTATTAGTTTTTTTAGTAAAAGAAAATTTGTCTGATCTTCTCCCATAATAGCAACCTTACATAATCAGATGTAAAATAAATATCAGTTGAAATACCCTTTTATAAACAAATATTGAAATTACGTTGGTGGATCATATGTTTGTTGCAAATAACTGATTTTATAAAATTATATTATTTCACCAAAAATGCTCTATTTATGCGCGATATATAAATCAGAATTATGTAGATAAGGCTTTTTTGGCACCAGCTAAATAATAAATTGACAATATTGAAAATGAATGTTCACGTATTAGGTGTTTTTAGAATTCTGATCACAACTTTCTTCGTGTAAGCCATGACTCATTTTATGAGTCAAATGGGCTTATAACCGTAAAAATAACACATCACTCAATAAGTCTCCGGTCTTGCTAAGAAAAAGAAATTTTTTTTAGGAATTCTACTTTATTCGTCGACATACTCTCCTTCAAGAGTGATACATTCGTTCCAACGCTTCTCTAGCTTTTCGATGCCTTTTTTGTTTGTCTGTTGATGCCTTTTCAAATTGTCTCAGAAATCCCAAGCTTTCCATTTTATATACAAAAAATAATTTTTTTACAAGTTCACCCGTTATGTAGGTTACTTGCCAACTACGGTGAGAAGTGGGAAATCTATACTCACACATACGCCATTGAGGACACGTAGATATGCGCAGTATTGATTCTAGTAATACCAACAGTGTTTCATTAATATCTTAGACACTATTACATTTCGGAAGATGAAATTTTATATTTCTGGTCCACTCCTCCTCCTTTCAGTTAACGCCAAATTTCGTCATCGTCGACCGCATGTTTCTTTCAGAAGTTTATCCGTATTTTCAAGACAGGGAAACAGCAAGGTGCTAAACGAGAGTAGTGATAAAGATTTGCCTCCTCATGCTGAAGCAGCATAAAACAACAATGTAAATCTATACTAGTATGATCATGGATTACGAAGACTCGTGAGTAAATGACGTCGCGAAACGTTAGTCGTTAGATGACAAATCAATTGAAATATCAAACAGTTCTCCTTATTTCGTCTAAGAAGCAACTAATGTTTCTAACAACGTTAATTTTATTAAAGGTGACAAAGATATTTATCTTGCATATTTATCTTGCTTCTCTCTTTTGCATGACTGTTAGATTCTGTATCTTGTATTCGATAAGGAATCTGTAGAGGATATTAAGGAGATAGCAGATAGAGAAAGAAACTTTTCTGTACATATTGGACTATTTAAAAAATTTCTTCTGTTCTATAAAGATTTATTCTGTTATTTATAGGGATTTAGGATCTTGAACAAACTATAAGTTAGGCAATAAAAAATTATGAGATACTGAATTTTTATTTGTTAGAATCACAATTCGATCCACTGTGCTTCGTGGCCAACGCGTCTAAACAATGTTATCAGCATGTATCCCCGTATCATTCTTATGACTTATTCATTTAAAGATGAAAACACAGAAGAATCAATAGTTGCTGCATTTTCCGATTCTTTTTTTCACTTTAAAATATGCATTTTAATAGTACTTTTTTACGTTAATTCGATTTATGGGAAAATTTTTTGTTAATAAAAAATTTCTTCTTTACGCAGAAAGTCGGATCGAAAAACCGTAACCAATTCTACTCAACATCATGTACACAAACTGAAGGAAAAATTTCAGCTCGAAAATTTCATTATTGTTCGAGTTATATCAATTTTTTACTGATAATTATTGATACTACGGCTGTATGTATACATACGTACCAATTAGAGTTGCGCAAAATTTTATTCGGATAACAGATAGGATATAAAGAATAACGAATACAATTTTATTCGACATTATTTAATAAATATACAATCGAATACTTTATCTAGATAACAATTTATACAAATGGATTCTTTTTAATTAAATATTTTATTCGAATAACGATTATTCATTTCGTTATAAATTATTCGCATAATTATTTATTCGAATAAATTATTCGAATGGAGATTGTAAAATTATTCGAATAATAATGCGAATAGTGTTGACCATACTTGGAACACTGCAAAGAATATAAAATCTCTTTTATAATTACGACTTTTA